CCCCCCCCCCCCCCCCCCCCCCCCATACAGTATTCATTGTTAAAAATCTTCTCTCTCCTGTGTGTCCTCAGGTTGTTTGCCACCAAATGTAGCGGCTGTCTTGAGAAGATAACACCCACAGAGTTCGTAATGCGAGCTCTGGAGAGTGTTTACCATCTCAGCTGCTTCTGTTGCTGCGTCTGTGATCGCCAGTTGTGCAGAGGAGACGAGTTTGTTCTGAAAGAAGGTCAGCTGCTTTGCAAGAGTGACTTTGAGAGGGAGAGGGACCTGCTCAGCACAGTCAGTCCAGACAACTCGGACTCAGGTAACACTGGGGATACCATTGTAGGCTATACGAACACGGTGGCTTTGAAAACGCATCCAATGAAGGACTTAATGTAGTCATTTTGATATCGACGATCGGTCCTCATTAGCATCATTACAGAGAAGACACAAAACTGCACTGAATTCAAATCTGCAGTAAAATTAAGTCGAAGAATTGTGTTTATTTCTGTCCGGTGACAGATAAAAGTGAGGATGAGGATCTGGATGTGAAGTCAAAGAAGTGCCCTGCCGCAGGGAAGGGCAGCAATGACAGCAAAGACCCTCGCCGGCCCAAACGACCACGCACCATCCTCAACACCGTGCAGAGGAGAGAGTTCAAGGCCTCCTTTGATGTGTCGTCCAAACCCTGCCGAAAGGTGTTTAAAATAATGTTATATTTGATGTTCTTTTGTTGGCAGAAAGAAAAAAATTAATGAAAATAATCCCGGTCTGATATTTGGGAAATATGCAATAACATTATGATGCACACATATGATGTTATTGTGTAAAAGTTGCTGATGAGTGTTGCTGTGCTGTGACTTGCAGGTGAGGGAGACCCTGGCTGCAGAGACAGGACTCACTGTACGGGTGGTCCAGGTCTGGTTTCAGAACCAGAGAGCAAAGGTCAGTAAACCCAAAATATCCTATCTTTCAAATCACTGAATACGACTGCTTGGTTAATGACTTATATGCTAATTTTGGGATGTGTCAGGAACAGTCTCCACTCATAGTGTCTTTTCCAAATAAACTTTCAACGTATAGGTTAACTTAGTTTTAAGGTTAACTTGGTTAGGTTTATCAAAAAAATATGGTGGTTTGGGTTAAAAAAAGTATGTTTCTTATTTAAATTTGTTAAGTATCTGGTGTTAGTTAAGTATGGAGCTCAGGTAAAATGAGTATAAGCCGGCTAGGTTTCACACAGGACACATACAGTCTCCTGGGTGAAATGATTCAACACATCTTGGTGGTCCCTCAAGAGTCCCCCACATCGCTTCCCTTGACCTTAAAAGCACTGTTTGTTGTCAAGTCCACCAAGTGTAACAAGATACGATCACAATGCTGGCAGAATTGATGTCATTATCCAGATCTGGATCGCGTGTGAAAATGAGGTCTTACTGTCCTTTTTTGCCAAAAGTGCTTAATTGTCTAAACCAGTTCTACATCAGTTAAGCTCCAGGGGATCGAGAATTTATAATCTACTATTTGCTTGGCTTGGTGGCATTTGGGAGAATAAGCTTGTCAAAGTCCGAATATCCAATAGGCCTTCTACTGAAGTCAGTTTTCAGTCTATAAGCAAGTCACATAGTCTACAAAATGTGAAATGCTGGATACAGATTGGTTATGTTGTAATAGTCACTGTTCTACCACTTCTCCTCTTCTGACAAAAATATACATCAATCAATCAGATGCAGTGGAATCTGTTTTCAGCAGGGAAAAAATGCTCAGTACACAGACATAAATCTCCAGTACCTATGCCACCACTTGGCTCCTTTATACAGCCTTCTCCATCTTCTGTCAGCTGAAAATACACATAGCCCCTGTTCTGCTCACAGACAAAGCTGCTTGACAGTATACAAAATACTTTTTCTTTCCTTACTATCATTAAATTCCATGTGCAGCGCCAAAGCAACAGTGAATGTGTCTCCTAACAAGTGTTGTGTGTTTATCTCAGCCCGATATATCTTATTACTCTGTGCCACAGAGCTCTTTCAAAACAACAATGGCGGCTCCTAAAAAGGTTAGTGTAGATGCTTCATTGGCATCCTTGTATTGGAACTGGCATGGCTGTAGACACTAACTGTATCTAGCAAGCCACATGTCGGCTGGTTTGCTGCATCTGTATGACCCCACATGAACAGATTTTATAACCATTTATAAAAAGTCTGACTTCATGCTTTGTTAGGTCCAGCCGCAAGGTGACTCGCAAATAACTTTGAAAATGCTTGTTTTCTGAATGGAGATTGGATCTATTAATGCTTGGCTACGCTACCACTGTACCTGCTCCATCAACACTCAAAATAACGTCATCCAGGCATAGATACAACGTTACTGTTTATGCCATAGATAGTCTATTAATACACAGACATGTATACACATAGTTCCGTCCGGTCTCTGTACAAATATGAGTTAACACAGATCTATGAGTGCCCATCAGTACCTACAGACTGCTTTTTTTCTCCACCATTTCTGTTTCAAGCGATTCCAGCGATTATGCGAATGACGTGAATTTCGGGCATTTGCGATGCGTCATTCTGGTGTAAATTTGTGTCTATTTGCATCTTTGCATTGTCTTTGTATGTAATCCCAGCTCACTACTCCTAATGCCTAGGATGGGTTAAATGCAATGTACCTGTATGTATATGACGATTCTAATAAAGTTTACAAGAGTATTTCTTCATTGAAAGAAGAGCAAAGAACAGCACTGATGGCTTTTCGCTCTCTTCTCGGCTGGCTTTGGCAAGAGTTTGATTGACAGATGGTTCATCCAATCACCTGCCAAGTATTTTTTTTAAGTGCCTGTCCTTTTCCATACTGTTTCCAATGACTGGCTTCTCAGATGGTTCTGTGTAACAACAACAACAACCATCTGGCGCGTCAGGTTAGTAGAGCACCATTGTTGTTTAAAACACATCAGTGGGCCACACTGTTGCACTGGGTGACATGTTGCTTCATTACCATGAACACACACACTGTAGTTTATTTTGACTCAGTCCAACACACACCGTCCTGCTGCCACAAACACTCACTAGAGCACCAAATGTGGATTGATCTGCCATTGAAAAAAGTCCCCTGTTTGAGTGACGTTTTATAAAAACTGCAGTGACCAACTGCAACTGCAAGAAAGTACTGAGAAAATATTTAAACTGTATGTTTGTGAGGTATGTTTTAAAGATTTACATCTTCAGTGTGAACCAATGGGCTTAGCAACAGGGTAGTGAAGTCAAGTGTTGAGAGATGGACTCACACAATTTGCTAACAATAATTCAATGTACTATATTGTATTATCTTTCTCTGTATTTAACCCCACTTGGTCTTTTATGAGGAAAGACTTAGATACAGCCTTATTTTTGCAAACAGTCAGTGACACAGTGATAGCCGTGAGTTCATCATAAACTGTTACTGAACATTTAGAAAATATCTTTACATAACAAATGACATATTTCTAAAATGATGTGTGAAAACTGGTCAAGTGTCTCAATAAGACAACTTAGTATACGTCCTGATTTGATCCATTTCTATATTATGATACATTTTCCATCCGATCGTCACAGCAATGATCAATCAGAACTTCCACTACATAATAATTAGTGTCCACATGGTACTTAGGTATGTCCCCTTACTTGAACTATATGTACATTTATAGGCTGATTGACTTGTCCTTTTGTCCTATAGCGCGCCGCTGGAATGAGCCCTAAAGCCCAGAAATGAGTTTCCTCGTCTCAAAGTCAATGTTTTTTGATTGTTTTTTGGTTAGATGCCTGGAATAAGGTTTGTGGCTGAAACAAGCTGAGGAGATTTAATGTTTTGTTCTATGTCATAAAAAACCTGTAATATCACACCCTTGAATTTTTAAATTCACGTTTGTTTGCCACAGAGCTCATTTTCTGCAATAATCCATAACCCAATGGAAGAATCCCGTTGGCTCTTTTGTTGAGCGAAACAGTGATATACTTCCAAGTTGGCCTACAACTGTACTTCCTCCCTGCAACACTCTATTGATGAAGATGTTTTGTCTCTTTATTTATTCGATTTTCCATAACTATATATTTCTTGTAATAGTAAAATGAATACTGGCCCATCGGTCCATTCCTTCGAAGCCTCAATTTACAATTGTCTTCTTTAGATTACAGTCATTGAGATGTAAAGTTGTCATGTTATGTTTCTTGTGGTTTCAAATATACATATATATATATATATATATATATATATACTGTATATATAAATATTCATCACTGTCTGCTAATCCTAAACACCCTAATATTCAAAGCATTCAAAGGTCGGAAAACATGTTGTTTTTTAAGTGGTCTCAGGTGTGGTTTGACCACCTGACGGACTCCCGCATCACACCTCTTTATTTGTTTTTGTTTATACTGTACATATTATTTGTTACACACCTCAAACTTTTGTAGGTCACTTGATATTTTAAATACATAATTCAGTGAAGGTTAACAAGAGAGCTCCGTGTCAATGTCTCCTAAATAAATGCCTGTCGGCCACATACCAAGCTTTTTTACTGTTCATGTATTTACAGATGAAGAAGTTAGCCCGCAGACAACAGCAACAGCAGGAGCAACACAACAGCCAAAGGCTCGGCCAAGGTGAGGAATTATCTGTGTGTTTATATACTGTACTGTTTAACTGCTTTCTCAGAAAAAGCACCATTGATGTCCATCTGCATGATTTAATCTGTCCATTATAATTGTAATGACAGTGATTACTGAGAGCTAGGTAATTCATGAATTATTTGGAGAAACAAGCTTGAAATATTGCATTTATTAGCGGAGCAATAAACAGAGTGGAGTCACTTAGCAAACACTTCCAGTTTTGCAGGCTTTAGAATGAGTCCCATACTCTGAAGCCAGAGTGACATCTCTGCTGGTAAATATGAGCTTTTCCAGACAGTGGAGCTGTAAAGTGTGGGCCACAGCCATGATTCTCACTGCAGCATAGCTCCTCATAGCTAAGGGCTTATTGCCACTGTGATCTCACCGCGTATATGAGCAGACAGTTTAGATAAGTGTCTCAGTGCTTTGGCAAGCACTGCCTCTATCTGTTCAGGGACTTCCAGCGTGTCAATATTGGCATAGCAGCAGGGTTTATTATAGTGGAAACTGCTGTTGTTAACCAAATGAGCTAAGCAAACTAGCAAACGGGGGGTTGTTTGACATTGATGTTAGGATGAGATGAAGCCTCTCGGATGACTGGTGAGATATCTTCAAGATCAAACAGCCAGTCAGTTTAGACAATGCGTTTACAGTATACGCTCTTATAAGAAAGCCATTTGTTGTGCAGCATTCATATTCTGTAGAGAAAACATGGATGTAGTGTCTGTGTTCACAACTGTAGGGATGTTTGGTGCGCAATGCTCCAGAGCAAGAGAAGCATGTCTTTTTTACTGCTTACGGAATATATGGAGTTGCTACAATGCATCCGTGGCTGCTTGTAGTAACTTACTTGAATGGTTGGCGTAGATAATAAACATGTATTCATATATATTCAAGATATAAGTAAAATGTAAGGCTTTTATGAGGACACCGACATGTTTTGTTTTTCAACAGCTGCCGTCACTATGAGCAACCACAATGCATCCGGTTGATAGTCACAAGTTAACCCGGTTTGCAGAGACTTGTACGTGTTCTGTTTGTTTACTTGTAGTCATTAGGTTGCCCTAGTTAGAGCAACTAACGTTATATTTCACAATAACACAATTAGTTGATTGAATTAATTTATTCTGTTGGACTACCGCAGCCCCTAGACCATGTCTTAGCCCGCTAATGTTAGCTAGCTTAGCTAGCAATTTAAAGTTTGTCACTTCTGTTGGAGCAGCTGAGCTCCGCATAGGTTCTCCCCGAAACATCTTAGACGTTGTTAAAAGTATCATTACATAGAAAGCACCAGTAAACGTTGAAAATTGTACACTTCTAAGGACGTGTATTGTAGGGAGACACCAAGCTTGCTTCTTCGGCCGAGCACATCTGGTACCTACACAGGTGTTTCCCTGGAATTGTGTATAGCCTGGGAAAACCAAGATAGTGACAAAAATCCAGATATGAGACACTTGAAATGGCAAGTGTAAATGGGAGCTGTTTGAAGTTTAACAAGCAAGCAGACTACAATTGTGAGGGTTTTACTGAACACACAGCAGCTATCTTAGCCTCAGTGAATGCTGTAAGCGCACCCATTGGAAATCCAGCAACACGTACGTGAATAAGGACAAGAGAATACGACAACTGTGGAATAACTGGGGGTTGCGTTTCTCGTCTCATGGAGGAGCTATTATGTCCCAGACTAGTCTGTCCACATAACGCAGAGAGACCAAACTGATAACAACTCTCCATCTTTCTTTCAGTAAGACAGCAAACAAGCCAACCCCCAAATGTGAAAGTGGGATCAGTAACTGTAATGTAATCATCAATACTAATCAAATCACTGTAACTTTACTGCTCAAAACCGTGAGTTGGACGTGAGATGCCCTCACAGGTATAGGAAGACAATGTGCGCATGTGCTATGTGACCACTACATCTGAGAGTTGTAACCCTGCTCACACTTGTTGCCGCTGACTGTTACAGAGGTGATATCAGGTTGTATGGAGGGCCTGCTCAGCTCCTACTCAGGGCATCTACCTCCAAACCAGCAGCAGCAGCTGGTGACCATGGAGCACGGCAGCTACCACACTGACCCCTTCCAGCAGGGCCTCACGCCACCACAGATGCCGGGTGACCATATGAACCCCTACGGTGAGCATCACACTCTATAATGGCTGGACCTGTGGTCCTTTTTTTTCCTTTCTCTGTAATCTCCTTGTTTCCTTTGATGTTAATATGATGTGGAGACTTTTGTCCGTAGTGGTCTCCAACTGGAGACCTATCCAAAGTGTTTCTCTACCTGCCCCCCAATGCATGCTGGGATAGGCTGCAGCCCTCAACTACAGTAGAGGATTATAGCACTGTATTCTTATTTCACATCTCTGCAATACCCAATGTGAAACCTGTTGATTCAAGATATTATCAAGTTGCATTATGGGAAGTATAGGATCCTGTTTTTTGTGGACCTTGGCATTTAATCTGCACTGGTTTTGGGTTTATAAATCAAAAATGATAGCTGATCATTTAAAAAAAACGTACCATCTGGTTTGAACCACATAACAAACTGTTAAGTACCATCATGTTCCACAGCTTGACTTTTAGTGATTTGCTTTCGAGGATTATCAAATTAGGATTTTGTACGTCTGGAACACAACTCTAAAGATGTGCTTTCATGTTCCAATGGTGACATTTTAATTATTGTTTTCAAATTTTTTAATGAATGAACTGATCTTATGAAGCAGGTAGCTCAAATCAAGCAATCTGATTGATTCATATCAGTGATATAATACCCACAACAGCTATGATGATTAATTCCTTTGCACTTTCAGTGTCATTCCGCATCTGAAAAAAATTAAAAAGTAGACTAATGTGTCGCTTAACGACAGGGTCAGGGGAGGATCGCAGAACATGTCAAAAGTTATCCGCTAAAGCCCGCTACAAAATGGAAACATGTAAGGCTCTATGGAGGCGTTGATTGAGCACCGCCCGTCTCCAGAAAAAAAAAACACCTGTTAATCGACATGCAGTGGCACATAAAGAGGAGGTTCCACAATGTTGCCCAGAATATACAACCAACCAAGAACGCAGCAGAAATACACCAACCACTGCCCACACAGCACCACAACTCAGAAATTGTCTGATGGGGTCATGACACCAGAGAGATTCTGGCTGTCAGTGGCTACGAGTGTGAAACCTCTCTGCAGAGCTATTGGCAATTGAAACTTGGGGACAGGAAAAAGCAAAACATAACAATTAAAGCCAGGTAGAGTCATCCAACTGATGCTGGACAGTTTGTCAGTGGTTGTACATTAAATGGCAAGATTCAAATAATGAAATTAAAGAGCCAAATAATAAATTCAATATAACACTAGCCTCTCATAAAAAAAATATATATATATGTATATATATGCTAACTGCAAGTGTTCGCTCCATAGCAACTGCCTCGTGAGTGCAGGCAGCCAACCCAGGAAGGCCCATTCTATTGTGAACATTATTATTTATTAATAAAAGACTATTGAACTTGGAATGTGTCTATAACTTTCGTGTGGCCGTACTTGATGATCGTTTTATATAAAAGCAATAGCTTGCTTAAAGAAGTAGCATGGAAGCAGCCCGACAGAGAGCTATCTCCAACCCCAACACTCATTGTTAGTGCTTTTATGGAATTTACTGTGTGGTTGGTCTCACTGTCGTCAAATACATTGCCACAAAGATGCAGCGGGGAGCCTTTTATATGGCAGTAATACAATGTGTCAGGTCTGTCAGCTTGCTGCGTACAGCCCTTCTGTCCCCCCAGTGGCCAATAAAATCAATGAATGCAGCTTTAAGTAGAGATATCTGTGTTTAAGTGGACTTCTTGAAGTTACTGCCCACTCACAGCTGTGTTTGACTTCACTGTTTCTTCTCTGCTTCTTTCTTCACAGGCACCGACATCATCTTCCATGACATGGACAGTGACACCTCTCTGACAAGTCTAAAAGACTGCTTCATGGCCACTCCAGACGCAGGCTCCTCGCAGGCCCGGGCGGGGAACCCCATCGACCGCTTGTACTCCATGCAGAGCTCCTACTTTGCCTCTTGAGAACCCAACCCACCACACCGTAATCCCAGGCCATGAACAGGTGAAGACACAAGACACATGTCCTGTATGACATGAATCAGTAAGGAGGGAAATGTGATTGCAAGACGGAATCCACCAATTTTACCTGACCGACCTCCACCAGCCAAAGGAAAAAGGAAAACTTGAAACTAAAACTTCACCTGCCAGTGGGCCTCCATTCTGCTTTTCGACTGGGCTCATTTTGTTGTCAACATTTGTACAGATATCACATTGGAAGTGTTTAGTGCTATGGAAAGTTAGAACATTTTGTCCAAAACAAACTGTGTCACAGAAACGTTAGGCTCCGTGTTTCTCAGTATGTAACACAGTTTAATAGGTACTTATTAAGGTTGTAAGTTGTTTTTAATGGGACAATCAGGCAAATGTAGTTTTGGTGATGTAATATTAGCCGACTACCAAGCTCTTCTGCTGTGAAAAAATAACAGTGAGCCAACTGATTGATACCTGTTGCAGAATGTATATATTGTTCTGAACGTAATTACTGTTCTTCAGAAACATCCAGTTTTGCATGTTAGGATAGACGATTTATTTATTACTCACCAACGTGCTGGTATACAATAAATCAAGAAATTCTGTTTAACCCTTTCAATACTATAGTTATGAAAGACAATAAGATCCCATTGTTAAGTACAAAAAGCCTTCCTAATTCGTTGATGATTTGATTCTGCTATTTATGATGTTATTTGCATTGTTTAGTGAGTGTGTAAATTACTATTGCTTTGCTATTTATTTTTCCATTGAGATCATGTGGACATTGTCAAGAGGGCATTTTAGATTTGCTAACTTATCAAAAGTGTTGGTACTTAAAATCAAAATAAAAAATGCATTCTCTTGAATTCTTGTCATCTTTTGTTGAATTACATGGGAAACGGTCAATGAACAATGGCAGGACAATTCTAAGATCGGCGGTTCGATCCCCAGCTCTTTCAGTCCGCATGTCCTTGGGCAATATACTGAAACCCAAATTGCTCCCAAAGGCCTCGGCATCAGTGTGTGAGTGTGCGTGAATAGGCATTAGTTTAGATCCTGATGGGCAGGTGGCACCTTGTAGGGCAGCCTCTGCGTGTGAATGTGTGAATGTTGACATATAGTCCATCTATTTAGAAAGGTACGTACAAGAAAGAAGAATTTAAATCAAAAGAAGAATTTAGGTAAAAGTGTTGCATATTCCATGCTACAATGTATCCTCAAACGATGGTATACAACATCTTACAAAGAGTTATTTTATTCAACTGCATAGTATGTGAATTGTGTGTATGCCAGAAATGCCCAGATGTATAGTAGATTAGCAAGAACTTCTGAGTGTGCTTACTGGGCATAAAACAGGCCCAAAAAAGCATTCTGGCACTTCAGACTGTTCAATGGAGGACAATAATTGTGTGTACATATGTAATATATATATATACACACAATTATTGTCTTGTACAATGATAGTGAATAAACGTGGAGCTACTCAGGACCCAGGGCGTTACGGTACAGTTAAGAGGAAAAACACAGGAGATCACATATGTAACGTACTCTAGAGACAATATTTAACACTGAAATACTTAATAATTCAGAAGCACTATAAAAAAGTTAATAATGCTTTATAATCTCATTGTAGCACTGTTTAGTTATAAAAACTCATAAATGTTCATCATGCTTTATAACAATAATCAAAACAAAGGCATGAATACTATTATTTGCAACTATAATAGTGTACTATAGTTGTAATACAACTATAGTAGCCATCTTTGTAATACATTATAATCTATAGTAATGCATTATAATCACAGTAATAATACAAGTGCTAATTGTTTGCTTTAATTAAAGAAACAAATATTACAATTAACATAGTAATTCATTAATATTATTAATATTATTGCAACAACACACAAAACATTGTAAAATACATTTATAATTTATTGAAAACAATGACCGCTTACATTAACTTATAAACAAATTATAATGCAATATAACAGTAATAATAATTAAATACAAAAATATTATAATGTATTACAACTATGGGAATTATAATACACTGTGATACTTGCAAAAAAGTCAGTGAGTGACCAGCAATTATAAAGTATTATATAATACCTCATAAGTCATTATGAGCTGCTTTATAAGGTGTTATGATTATTGTTATAAAGCATCATGAATATTTATGAGTGCTTATAACTATAATTATAAGCAGATTATAACGCATTATAACTATGTTTATGATGCGTCATAGACAAGGGCGTCATATAAAGTGTTACCAATAATTAAAATTTTCCTTTAAAGAAATACTAATAAACATACTGAGGGTAAGAGGTATTGCTGATTTAATTTGTTATAAACAATTTTCATTCAACGGCAGCGCCGACCGGTGACCTCGGGATCGATACGGTGATGTGATGCAGACGTATCGTTTGAGTGTATTTCAGTGTGCTGCTAATGCCATACTTTTTGTTCATTTAGTATGCATCACATGCTAATTGAGTATGCACTAGTGCGCAGAACGTTAGTATACGAGTTTGAACGCACTATGACAAGTCTGCATTAGCTTCACCACTCACATGTTGTGGTTACTACTTTGGGTAGACCAACAATAGAATCCTCAAGCCAAATAATCCTGATGTCATAATGTAATTTGAGGGAAGCTTCCCACGAGCTGGATGTAATGGAATGCGTAGTAAGCAGAAAAGGTAGATGAGACGGAGAATGGCAGAGATAAACGACAAGGAGGGAGAGAGTCAAAGAGTGCAAAGAGGGAGGAGAAAAAAGAGGTGAAGAATTCACAGGATTCAGTAGGTGAGAGTTTTTGCCCGAGGTGTGCAACACTGTGTGAGGCAACACCTGGCTGGCTCTTCAATCATCCTGACAGCAGATCAGCTCGACATTTGCGCTTCGCCTCGTTTCTCCCAAACCTACGCCGAGATCTATCTTGATAAGCAGCTGCTTTTTCTCAGAACTGGTTGTTCTTTTCTTATTTGTTCCCCTCTCATCTACTGCACCCTGAAGGAGGAGTGATCTCCATTACTCATCAGTCCCTTCTCCTTTCTCTTGCTCTCCTTTCTCTCCCCTGAGGCAGCAAATAGATTATTATGCTGACCCTAACTAACCCTACGGACGCCATAACGCTCAAAGGCCTTTACACATCGGGTGCGTTTTTTCCGTGCTCTTAATTCGCACGTCAATGTATTTTTTGTCATGAGTACTTTCACACAGGAAGTAAATATGACGCGACAGAAAAATGAAGATGATTTATTTGACCTTACACCCATAAATAAAGGCCTATGCATTGTTGTTATTGTATGATGTTTAGATAAGAAATATGTATTATTTAGTTATGTTACTATTCTAACTGATTGTACCCCAAAATAACTCACAGAAGGCCCCCGAAGAAATTAAAAATATGCAACTCTTGTATATGGCTTACTTATATAATTTGAGTTGCAATGGAAGAGTGCCGCTGTTCCTGTGTGTCTGTTCAAAGTTTGTTAATATCAAACGTGTTGCGTTTCAAAATTTCACCAAATTCCACAAAGCACTCCCTTAGATCCCCAGCAGTATGACCGCCAAGTCTAAAGTAGATCAGATGAGATGCGAAGAACACACAGACAGACTCACAGACATATTCCCTGCTTTATAGTTAGTTTATTATTTTAAAAGTAAAAGTAATAATTTTAGGATTAGAACTTTGTAAGTGTCTAATATTTTGTCCATCTTTGACGCACATTTATATGGAAAAGAAACAACATCAGAAGCATCTTTCAATAAATTGCAGTTCAATATAACACCACAATAAGTGAATAATCACCTTTCTGTCAACAAGGATCTCAGAGTTTTATTAAAGGACTTTTGTATTGTATTACAATGTAAATGGGTATTATATTTCATATTTCCGGTTACATTAGCATGCAATGCAAAGTTATTGGGACCATGTGACCTCCATACTGTATATATATAGAGGAGAAGATGTTCTAAATGACACTAAGGGCTGTAAAAATAATTGGTGCAAATTGGGGTTGTGGAATGAGAACAATGTCTTGAAATGCAAATATGTGGTCTTTGCATTTTTCACATTTCCCCATCAGGACATGGTTTAGAGAGGAGAAACAACTGACATCCAGCAGTAGTTGTGGAAAGTCTGTGTGGAGGTTGAAGGTTTGGATAACATTTAACAATACTATTTAAACAATCTGTAATTGCTGATTCGCTCTTTTCCACTTGAAGTTCATTGTTTGGGGACGTTATGGGCTACAAGATCTAATGGTCTATAAGATTTCAACGCTGGTGTTTTGTTTGTAGATCTGTGATCTAAATATCATTTTACAAGTGCAACATCTTATTGATTATTTATTTGATCTCATAACTAACACATCAACCCTTGTTGACCAAAGTTATAGCTGCATCGACCTAACTTTACACTAAATCTAAATCTTATTGTCTAAACTCTGACCCTCGGCCTAATCCTTTGGTTTCCTCCCTTATGGACCCTGGAGACATTTGATCCCTAAACTAATAGTACACACACGCACACCCGCAGGTACGCACTACTTCCATCAGCCCAGACAGGTTCTGCAAACCCTCACACCTCAGATTTGAATCCAGTAATCCCTGCAGTGGGATTTCCCTTCTGGAGTTCATACCTGGCAAGTGCACATGCACTATCTTCACTAAAAAAGTACATGTAGTTCTCCTACCTCTCGACCTGGTTTCATGACTGACAGACGGCAACAATATTTAGCCACCGCGCAACAAATCCCTTCCTCCTCTGTATGAGCTGTGAGTGAGCATGAGTGGAATAACTCCCATTTGTTCCGCTCCGACAAGCTGCTGGATGAAAGACAAACAGCTGCCTCTTTGCCAAACAATTGATCATAAAAAAATTATGCGTATACACGGCAGCACACAAAGACAGCTCATGGTTTGAGTTCAGTCAGGTGGAAGGTACAGAGGGAGACAGATGTCAGTGGCTTTCTGCACGATGAAACCTGCCGCCCAACAACGTTTGGCCTCGGTGTTACTGGCAAACATTTCTCAGGTGACTCAGAGGCCAAGGTGACAAAACGTGCTCACAGCACTCCTTTCATCAGACAGATCATAGGAGGAAGTAACATGTATCTTCAGTAACGTATCTTAAGTATTTCTCAAAACAAACTGAAAATGTCATAATTCTATTATGTTTTACATGGTTTTTCACCTTATGGGCTCTGACTGGGGCTCTTTTGATTTTGTATTTTTGTTGCTTATTCTTCTGAACAAACATTTTTATTGCCTGAACCTAACCATTTCACACCGTTAATCAAGCGTCAGTTTGTGTTTCTGCAAGTGTTACTATGTTAATATAAAACATTTATAACACTTTTTTGGTTCAGGAACGTCGATGTGGAACATTTCCTGTGATTTGCAGAAACGTACAATAGCAACATCCTTTTTTCTTATGACTGGGTTGCAAAATCACAACAGCAGTTTTCTCATGACACTTTTAAATTAACAGCAGGCCAACGCCACAATCTTTAATTAACAGAGACCCAACATTTCCCCATGAGCAAGCATTAAGGCGACGGAGGCAAGGAAGAACTCCTCTTTAACAGGAAGAAACCTCAAAGAGAACCAGACTCTGAGTGGGCGGCCATCTGCTTTGACCTTGGGAAATGATAATAACAACTTCAAAAATAATACAAATATGACTAATAATAATATTATTAGTAGCAGTGGGCGTCAAGAAGAACCACGGCAACAAGGCAGTCATGGTCCATGATCCAGGCGCAACCATG